TAACAAGCACAAAATGGTTACGAAGTCGGTCCCAGGGACCAAGCCCGTGCTGAATAAGTTAATAAAGAGAGGAAAGACTATTGATATGTTAAAACTCAGAAGTTGGCTGAAAGCTAGACACTGACCTATACCGAAGTACGTATTTAATTTTTAGTTTAAAAATAGGTAGAAATCTTCTGAAAATTAGATTTTTTTGATAGTTTTATAAGTTGATGCACATCACAATTAGCTAACAGAGGTGAAAGTCATTTAAAGTTTCAGATATTGTCTTGAAATATATTTTACCTGAGAGAATCCCTTGGAAATTTCTTAATGTCTGGGAAGTTTACATAAACTGTATTAAGTTTTATCTAGAGGCCATCAAAGTAGCATTAATTTGGATGTTCAAAATTGTATGTGAAAGATAAGTGGTTTGTTGCTATTAATGTCTGAGAAGAAGATAATATGTTCTATAACTTTGAAATTTTGAAAAGTTTGTGTGATTCCAAAACCAGGTGTTTGTAATGTCTTGGTTTTATTTTGCATGTTACACATACAAAAAAACTACAGTTGTTAATTTTTTACTTTTTCAATTAAGGCTCTTTGCTACTTTCTTTTATTAGTAACAAATATTTTACGTTTTATACATTTAATAAGCATTGGCTGTTACAGTTATCAGGGTTGGTTGACAGGAGGGCAGTTTTCTTTTGACACCACCAAGAACAAGTTGACAAAAGCCAACTTTGCCATAGGATATTCTGCAAAAGATTTTGTGTTTCACACAAATGTGTAAGTATTGTTGAATAAATAATGTTGTTTTAATCAGATTCAGAACTAAGTTTACCTTGTTAAAAGCAAGAACCTTATAATAATGTAATATTAAAGAACTAAAATATTTACTCTGTCTAAATTCTAGAAGTTTTCAAAATGTATACTAATTTTACTCAGTTTTAAATATTCAAGTGGTAAGTTTCTACCAAATTATTTTTTGAAAAGAAGAAAAAACAAAAATAGATTTGAGGAAACCAGAAGATGTAGTTCCAGTTGAAAGCAGTATCTACTCATGCACTGTAGTTTTTACATCTTAGCCTACATCAAATTTGGACATCAGTGACTTCTGATTTGCTGTTATTCAATATAATAATAAGTTGGCAAACAAAGACTCACAAGCATAATGAAGTGATTTATTTTTGGGAGAACATATTATACATGTTTTGACAGAACATTGGTCAATCTGCTTCTTCAGCAGAAGACAGGATAATGTTCTGTCGAAACATATAGTGTATTCCCCCAAAGATAAGTCACTTCAGTATGCTTATAAATCAATTTTGCCATCTTGTTATTATATTAGCATAATGTGCTACCATACTCAAGTGTGTTATTCAATATGTGTAGTAATTCACATGAGCTGATAACCACAGTTGTGTTATAGCTTTGAAACAGTAATAGAAAAAGCATACTTAAGGTTAATGTTACCCATTTAATACCAGTGAAATTATTAATGCTTAAAACTCTTATACACCTGATGATAAAGCTTATAATGATAAAGACCTTATTAGCACCATTTTGAAAAATGGTAGTCTGTGTAAAAATCAGGAACAGATATATTTCCCTTAGTTGCTGATTATAAAGATTATAAAGCTTTGAAGTTCTAAATCAGAAGGAGTAACCCATTTAAAACAAAGCAATGTAGCAAAAAATATTAGCTATGATATGAAATCCAAACAGTACAAAAGGTTGGTTTATAAAAAGCATTAAGTGTTATCTATGTTAAAGTAGAATAGAACAGAAGAGTTTATAGTAATGGCAAAACAATTAGATCTATAATACAACCTATACAAAAAAGTTTCATAAATCCAAGATATTACTTTTATGATATTAAAACATAGTACCTGAAAAATATTCCAGCAAGATTAATTCAGGCTTTATGCTTTTTCACTAGACTGAAAGAAGTTGTAATTGTTTATACCAAGCATTTTAATGCAAACTAAAAAAAATTACAAAAAAAAACTGATAAATCTGTTCAAATCACTGGAAAAAAAAATATTTACTGAAATTACAATGAAATGTAAAATTTGTTTAAAGAAGTCTTTAAGAGGGTGGTGTTTGAAGACTATTTTGCATGATACATTTTTGATTTTGAAGTTTGCCACTTAAAGCAGACTGGTGTAAATATAATAGCCTGTGTAATATCTTACTGTTTGTCTTATATTTACTTGGAACATAATATCACCTATTAAACACTGAATTCTTACTATTAAAGTGAATAAAAGTTACAGATTTTTAATTAGTTCTTGATAATTTTAATCACCTTGCTTTTTACTATGTATATAATAAATGTTATTATTTTGGTTAAGAACCACTTGGATTCAAAACACCTGACTAGGTTTACCAGATACTTATTACATGCGCTATAAAAAGGAAATACACATTATTTCACAATGAAATTTTATGCTTGTAAAGGAATGATGGCCAAGAGTTTAGTGGTTCTGTATACCAAAAGGTGAATAACAAAATGGAAACAGCTGTCCAGGTGTCTTGGAATGCTGGAACTAATGCCACATCATTTGGTTTGGGTTGTATTTACAAAATGGATAACAACACCTCCATGAGAGTAAGTAACATGTCTTACAATACAGATTAGTCTTGCTTGAGAGGAGGTTTAGACAGAACAGAGTATTCTTGAAACTGTATCTATCTAGGAAATGTTTTGGAAAATGTTTCAAACTGCAAGCTTGCTAGACAGATGCAGTCTATAAACAATGCCTTTCAAGAGAATAAACAGATTTATTTTTCTGTTACAGACAAAAAGTTTAGTTGGGTACTGATTTTTTTAATATAATTTTCTACAATTTTATAAATTAGGAAACCTATAATTATAATCTTAGTATTTAATTTTTTAACTAAATTAAATAGTATTTCTTGT